GGTGTGGGGCTGGGGGTGCAGGGTTGGGGTGTACGAGGTTGGGGGGCCAGGCAGCAGCTGTCCCGCCCCGGAGCTGCCCCGGGCGCCGGTGGCCTCCGCACGCCGTGCCCAGGAGCCCCGCGGAGGGGAGGCTTTGGGGTGGTCTCTCCGCTCTGCAGACGCAGCACTGGTGGCGCTCGGAGCTGCCCATTGCCCACCGGCCCTCCTGCGGGACACGGTCCCGAGACACACTGTCTTGGGGCGCGGAGCTGACGGCGAACACACCCCGCACTGGGCACTGCAGACAGGGAAGAGGGGTTTTTCCTTTCATGCTGGTGGTTGGGGTTTTTTTTATTTTAATCTCCCCACAGCAAAAATTATCTACTCTTCATTCTGCAATAAAAGGTAACGCAGCCTGCTTTTCTGCTGGGGTGAGCATCGTCCCAAAGCCAGGGTTGTCGAGAGGCCAGTGCTGCCGGTGAGCCTGGGACAAGTGAGGTTTGGCTGCTCTTTGCAGATCCACAGGCTTAGAAAATCTGGATCCTTGTCCAAGTGCCAGAGGCATCCTGGTAGCTCTGCTTGGCTTACAAACCTCTGCAGTCAGCCTTCAGTGGCAATGCTACTCGAATGTTCAAGATTTATTTTTTTTTTTCCCCTGGACTTTTCTGAAATATAATTTGTAATTATATTTTACAGATTTATATATATTTATATATATATTAAGACAGTGGGTTAGTTATGCAAATCTAATTGTGTATCTTACGTTCCCATGTCATTTGTAATTAAAACCATGGAATTCAAAGCACATATATTTCAAACATCCAGTGTAGGCTTCTATTAGAAATGCAGTTCATTAAAGCTAATGAAGCGCCTTAGAACGGGTCAAGGCAAATCCAGAGCATGTTCCGTTGCCGTGGGAACAGCCAGTACCAGAACCCAGCGCAGAGACAGTGACCGGTGGCGTCGGAAATGACGGGCAGAAATATGATGAGGAGAGAACTCTGCCCCGAGCCCAGGGCGGCGCCGTCCCGCTCGCGGTGCCAGACGCGTGGAGCCCCCGTGGTCCTTCCCGGGGCCGTCGGGGCCTCGCGGGGACGGGGCGAGTGGCAGCCCTGCCAGGCAGAGAAATGTCCCGCGACGGAGCGGGGACTGGGAAATGGGCCCCAGACATCACACGGAGGTGAATACTGCCTGGATTGTTAATTGCTTCCCAAGTGGAAGACTTACTCCTAATCTCCCATTAGCAACTGCACATCCCTCTCACTTCAAATTGCCTTGGAAGATGAGGATTTCTTCGCTGCCGTGAGGGACGGAGTGGAAGAGCAGTAATTTTTTAATTAAGTCAGTTTGCTGGCGTTACTCTTGGATAGCTTACATAAATGAAGGAGGATTTTGCTAATTGCTCTGCTGATTTCCTCCTGATGCTCGAGACCACCCTGCCTCTCCCTCCAGCCCCTCAGCCCTGAGCCCTGGATCCTCCACCAAGTCTCCCCCAGCCCTGCGCCGGGGTCCCTGCTCCGGTGGGAGCCCCTCGACGCGCGGTGGATGTTACAAACCCCCCTGAGCACGTCTGCTCCGGGTCCGCTGCGCCAGGCACAGCCCCGGCATGGCCCCTGCCTGCTGGAGACGGATTAATGCAGTTTTTCTAGTGCATAATAGTTACAGAAGCCAGGAGGACCTTTCTGCCTGTTGCATAACCTCAGCTTTATCTAATGAACCTCTAATTGCTGCACGCTGTGGGTGTTCTGGAGGGCTGCTGAGCCGCTCCGCCTGTCTCCCTGCTCCAGCGCTGCCCAGGCCCTTGTGCCATGAGCTCAGCGGGAATCTTCCCCTCCTCCCTCGTGCCAGCGGGGTCCCTGGGCAGGTCCTGCTGCAGCCCTGGGGTGCTGGATGCAGAGGGGTCTCCTCTCGGGCTGGAGCACCCGAACGCTGCCCTGGGAGCGGGACACCGGCCGCTCTGAGCACGACGCCGGAGCCTCACCACGCTCCACGGACGCATCAGGGCTGAACCAGCAGAAACAGCGCGTCTCTGCGGGCCCGGGCCTGACACGGGTTTGTGGATTCACGCTGCGCCCTGCCTGACCCCAGCGGGGGGGCTGCACTTCTCCCTCCTGCAACCGCAACGCGAAAATATCACCCAGCCCCGAAATGGCATCATGCAAGCAGGAGCTGATGATGTTTGTGTTGCGGAGAAATGGGCCAGCGCTGGCGTGGCAGAGGGTCCTTCCAAGCTCTTCCTCCGAGGTGATGCCACCCCCGGGGCTCTCGGATGCTGCTGCACGAAGGCAGCATCTCATGTCGATCCTGAAGAGGGAGTTCCCAGGGGCAGGAACAGAGTCGATGATGCAATGAAAATAATTATTTCCTAAAATTGCCCATTCCTCTAAGCCTAGGAAAGTGGGTCTGCAATGAAGGGAAAAACAGAAGAGCCAGCAATGCAAATCAGTGGCACATAACTGCCTGGTTTCTCTGCACACGGCTGAGCCTCACGGGGGGATGCTGCACCGCCAACACACGGCAGGATGACACGGCACCCCAGCTGTGACAAACCTCATGGGATTCATCGGCACCCATCAAATCATATTTCTTTCTTAATTTATTGTATAGCAAGCTGAACATTTCGATTTCTGAGGCAAGCTCACATCAGGAATGGAAGGGAGAGATGGCAGATGACGGTGACATCGGAGGTGGCTTGGTTGGGGAAAACTGCTTTTCATTTAAAACCCTGCTTTCCTGAAAAACTGCAGCCGAGGAAGGATTGACAATTTAGAACAAAGCTGTGAGGAGCAATCCTCTGCAGGGGCCGGGACAAAGCAGAGCTCTGGTCTGGGGTCTGTGCGTTGGGTTGTAAAGGCTCCTCCAGGTCAAAAGGTCTGAAGCAATTTTAGGTTAAAAGGGAACGAAAGCTACAAGATGAGAAGGACTGTAAAAGTCATGGGCTGGGCTCCAGCACTTGGCAAGGAGCCGCTATCTGGAGGTCAGGGACTGGATTTCCATTGCAAATTAATCGGTGGATTCACATTTATTTCTTTGTTCTCATTCTCCCCTCAGTGCCATGTCTAATTGCATATTAAAACTCTTGCCTTCCCAGTCGGGGCTCGTCTGTCTGCCCCCCTGCTCCTGCCCCGTCCCTGCGGGCCGCCGGCCGCTGCCTCGCTGGCCAGTGGCTCCTGCAGCCGGGGGGGGTCTGTCCCCTGCGGCCGGGGGGGCCCTGCCCCGTGGCAGCACCCCGTCCCTGCTCACTCGCAGCCTGTGTCCGCGGCC